CAATTAATGTCCATTGAAGGAGATGAACCACTGAAGATTGACGCCATGATGACTAGTCTGGATACCTAGCCCGATGATTGTGACCACTCTACGAATCAAGGGTCCGGTATCACCCATTGTCCACGTGACCGAAACTGGGGAAATTCCTCCAGTTTTTTGGAAATAGCCGAAATATTCCCGGATGTAGTCCCGTCTACATCCGGCATGTTCAAATGGTACCGTTGACGTTCGGTTATTCCCAGCTGGACAGGTAGGCTAGCTGTTAAACATAAAGTCCCGTATCCTGATGGCAACTGTTGATGTTACAACATGCAGTCGTCTGGGATTCTTTGGGCAGGGAACCAGACTACATGATGACTGCAATTTATCGACATTTATTTGCTAATTCTTTTTACGATGTAAACACTTTGTTATCCTAGGTTTTACACGAACATCGAGATGAAGTAAATAATGACCCTACACTTTATTTTTTATGTAACATTTGACTTAGTGCATTACCTTAAAGGGACAAAGGACATTTGCACATCATGTGGACAGTCCTCAACCTTTCGATGGTATTATCACAACATTTTATGTTTGTAATCTAATGGGAGAGATTAGAAAATCGTCTTGAAACTTGTTCACAAACTTAAAGTGTGTTCTGCATTGCAAAAATGAAAGGACGTCACGATACTCTTTCTTGTTTTGAAGTTAAGCAATTACTTTCGTGAGGTATTTGTTGGCAATTTTTCCAAGTCAAATTATTATCTTTTTAAAGCATCCAATGAATTAAGATGGAATTGTAAACAATCGATGAACTTTTTCCCAAACTTTGAACACGTTTCCGGTCTGTTCTTCCGTATACCATACATTTAGCAAATCTGAATGACGTCAGATATTTTACATAAAGAGACCATTGTGATCTGTGGCCCCAGATAAACATCTAGTTGGATTAAGCCTACTATAAATTTTTGTGGTACTACTGCAGGTGTTAGTCTTCATTTTCAACCTCTCTAATGAAGTGATGATATATGGTTAAGTTCAATAAAAATTTGAAAAATTGAATTTTATATTTGTAGGTACCCGCACCATCGTACCTTATACCGTATTCAAAGGGACATTGAGGCACGCCAATGTACGCACAGTACATCATCTCAGAAGGAAGCCACTAGGTACGTCAGCTGGCGTACTGTTCACTGTGTTTGGTAGATCCTTGTAGTATGATAATTGACATACCGCTCACCATGTTGGTGAGAAGCTTATGGTTCAATTACTCTACGATTTCCAGTTTGGAAAACAAGTTTACACGTACGCCAATTGGCGTACCGCTCACCATCTTAGAAGGAAACTCGTAGGTACGCCAATTGGTGTACCGCTCACCGTCTTAGAAGGGAGCTTACGCCAATGGGCGTACCGCTCACCGTCTCAGAAAGAAACCTGTAGGTACGCCAATTGGCGTACCGCTTACCATGTTGGAAATTAAGCTCATGGTTCACTTACCTTACCATTTCAAGTTTTGAAAACAAGTTTACACTCACCATCCTAGAAGAAAGTTTGTAGGTACGCCAATTGGCGTACTGCTCACCGTTTAGAAAGAAACTTGTAGGTACGCCAATTATCACCATCGTAGAAAGAAACTTGTAGGTACGCCAATTAGCGTACCGCTTACCATGTTAGAAGGAAGCTCATGGTTCAATTACTTTACCATTTCCGGTTTTGAAAACAAGTTTACACTCACCATCTTAGAAAGAAGCTTGTGGGTACGCCAATTAATTGGCGTACTGCTCACCATTTTAAAAGTACGACACTGTGAGCTAGAAGTAGTATTTTGGTAGCATTTATCGTTCTATTTAAAATTTAAGGAAATGTTTGTAAGCTTTCCCATTTTGAGCATAAAGACATATATATTTCGGAGAAATACAATTGTTTGTAAGAACACTGTGGCAAGTTTTGTAGAAGTGCTGCAAGTAGGGAGTAGTTTTGTTTTTTGTTTTTGTTTTTTGCAGTACGTAATGCTCTTTCGTTGCATTAAACTCAATTTCTTGGTATTTTGTTCTAAAGAGCAGGTTTTACATTTATTTGAATGAATTCCACAGCTTTTTGTCATTTTACCTCTGCAAAAATGAAATCTTTGAAATACGACTTCTAATTGCCTAACATTTTGCATTGAATAATGAGATATAGACATTTCCAATACAACCAAAATAGTTTCAATGTCCTTCCACACTCAAATTGGGAAGGTGGTTTATTTTAAGTATTCCAGGCTTCTCATATAATGGGCTTGTGTGAGTTAGATAACCTGTTTTTGATATTATCCGGACAACTTTCTTCTGCAAAAGAAACACCTTGATGCATTGAGAGGTCGAGCTGCCCCAGGTAAGAATGGCATATTTCAGGTAGAAAAGAATAAGGGTATTATACAAAGTGAAACGTACGGTTTCCGATAGAAATTAAATAACGGCAGTATTTTTGGAGATTTCAGTACACAAGACGTCGATATGTTTACTCCAAGTGAGATTCTCATCAATATGAACACCCGGGGATTTAGTACTTTTGACCTCGTTCTGCACGCAAACAGAGAAAAGGATTTTGTGTATAAATATACAATGTACTTATTTTGTCTAAAGTTAAAACTCATGGCATTTGTCTTGAGCAAATTAACAGAAAGTTTATTTCACAAGAGCCATTCATTCACCTTTACAAGTTCTATATTTAGATTACTAACGAACTGTATTCACATTAGGATGGTTATATAACAGACTCGTGTCATCAGCAAAAGACAAAAGGAAATGCAATAGGAAGAATTACAAATATCATTTACATATTTGATATACGATAAGGGACCTAAGCCCTGTGAAACACCACAGGTAATAGTACGAGGTGTTGAAGTGGTGGAATTAATTCAAACAAACTGCTTCCTACTTGACAAGTAAGTCCTGAAGGTGTCTCCCCATTTGCCAAAGTGAATGTCCAGCTAGCTTAGCTTGGACCGATGCGAGAGCGGTACGAACTAGCTCAGGGTGCTAGTGAGAGTCGTAGCGGCCCGTCACCGCTACGTCCGAACCAATTGCCGGGGGAGATACCCCCGTGTCCGTCGCCACCCTTGTCCTGCTAACTAGCCTCGGTTCTCCCCGTCTCTACGCTGAGCCAATGGTACATTGTGCGGCGATTGTATTATTGCAGTTATCACATTGCGGTATGAGTGAGCTGAGTGTGGTCGGTACCGTCCAGCTATTGCTAGTCACCGTGGTGGTCCGGGACAGCTCCCACCACGGCCCGGCCTGATGAGTGTAGCCTAGCTGTGCGATGCTACACACCCGTACCGTACCCACTCCGTCTGACTTGCGTTTCCAATGGTCTTGTCAAACCGTAGTTCAGTTGCACTTGCATACAGCTTCGCCCCTCTATAACTTTGCCTTTTATGTGTTGTTTTAAGTTAAGCTACACCTTCTTCAAAAATCACATTGAAATTTGATGAAGAAAAGTGAGAGCAATAAACCAACTATAGGCCTACAGTAGGACTGTCACCCTGACCTCGTTTCCGGTCCATCTTTTAATGAATTGTTGACCCCAAATATCGATCACATCCTGTAGACACTAGTCAAGTCCATGCTACCATCGATTAGATATTAAGGGAACGCAGCACTATGTACGTGCAACACATACATGTATATACTGAGCATCAGTACGCGTTTACAAATGCACACGTTAGCTTCAAGAATACTAATGATGTAATTTATTCTACTTATGATGCAAAGGGGCTATACTAAGAAATGGCTATCTCGTGTGCATAGCAAAAAAAATTACGATTAAAAAGTCTTTTTATAGAGCACTAAATATCCTGCTTAGATTAGAAACTTATAGCAAAAACGATTCAATGGCATTTTCTGAAGAAAAAAAATTAACAAAGTAAGAAAACCCGAGAGAAAATAATCCTCAAAATCGCACCCCTCACACTTCTTACCGCCAAGGCCATTTGTGCCCATACTTGCATAATTAAGAATATGTTAGTGAAAGGGTCTATGTGGCAGGCTTACCACAAAATTTTTGAGCATAACTCATGCGCTCAAATTATCATGAACAATTGCATATGCGCACTGCCGATAACCACAGTCTCAATGGCGAGCGGGCTTCGGCATTGTGTGCGGGCATTCAATATTCATGAACATGAGCGCGTGAGGTATGCTCGCAATTTTTCGGGTAAGCCTGCCAGATGATTCTACAAGACTGTTTGTTTGTTGGGGTGTTGGGGTGTTTGTTTGTTTGTTTGTTTTCTGGCAGGTCGTCTCTTGTGAATATAGCGCCCTCTGCCGGTACTGCTATTTGGCTGTGCTCTCCAGCGCATGTCGTCTGCATGGTCAACCGGCCAAAACAGTAAAACTAGTCTTGGGGCAAGACTTGTGATTGGCCCCTGTACTGCTTGTTAAAATTGCATTGTTGTGTTAGAAGTTTCAGTGGTACTAGTTTTTCTTGTTTGTCTGTTTTGTTTGGTTGCTTAGCTTTGTTTAAACCATTATCTGTGTTCGGTTTCATCACACTGCAGAAAAGCAAGAGAAGCTGAAAAATCAAACTTTCATCCCCTCTCCAAGGAAATAACAAGGGACAGGGCAACGACTCTTAGGGGAAACAGGACATTGTTCTGGCATAAAATATGCTTTCTCTATTGATTTTCTAAAGTGTAAATCCTGGATGGGAAAAAGACATGGCTTTGTATGAAATATTTTTTTCCACCAGAATACTTTAAGCAAAATTAATCTAGCATGATAAAAGATTACATAGATGAACTTTATAACTACATGTACCAAGTTTGGTTAGACATAGTAGGAGATTGAACCCGGATATAAAGTTTGGGTAGATGCAGAAGGTTAAAGTGTGTAACTATGTTATGTGTGTGTAATACGTTTTATATTTTATTGTGCTGGTTATTTATCCGTGGTGTATTTTTGTCGTAAATTGGGGGATGGGGAAAGTTGAGGGGATGACTTGCCGGGCCATGGAAATTTGAAGGGGGGGGCTGATTCCATATAACACTTTAAAGTGGGCGATGTTCATGATACAGATGTACATCTGTAACATGTATTCCATTCCTGAAGGAATATATACGTACATTTCGGTCGTTTGCAAGTCGGAACAATTCATCACAATCCGTCTTCATTTTTGTCTCGCCACGAAAAAAATGGGAGATGATTCACTGACCTATCACCCGGTCTAAAAATGGGGATTTATAGTTATACCCCCATCGACCTGGGATTTACACCCGTGCTCTGCTTTAATCTGAAATGTACTAAAATTCATAACCTCAGTTGAAATTCTCAAAAATTATCTTGCCATAGCACCCACAAACGTAAAGTTAAGGCCCCAGGGTTGTATTTCGGTTTAAAGGATTCAGATTATTTCGCCTGATCTCTGTTGTCTGCAAGGATTGCATTTGCTAACCTTGCTACTGATTGTAACAATGAAGTTTGCATTGCTATGTAGCAATCTACCAGGATAAATAAAGATCTACTCCTTTGTCGCTTGAGTTTGTAATTTAAGCAAAATTGGGAACGGAGTTATCTACTGAACGCCTTTTGAATTTCACCCCCTCCACATTTTCGGGAGAATAGTATACAAACTGGCCCTGTAGGCCTATTCCTTAATAGTGAGTGTAAATTTCAGTGCTTACTGAGCATGTATGGTTCACTAACCTTATGGGCAAATAGAGGAATTAATATCCAAGTTCTGATTTGATTTTGATATCCGTTGGAAAGCATACATGCTCCAATCCAGGTCTTAAATACATTAGGCATATGTGCTATCATTGTGTCAGCTCTGTTTTCTTAACAACTGCCAAAGCGGACTGAGTGTTGTTCGACGTTCCGGGATCAGTGCCCCCAACCCGGATCAGTAACTGTTCAAGGATACTTATTTCGTCTTGATCATCTTAAAAAATGATAAAGATAGCGTAATGTATGCATGGGTCTTGGCCATGTTCCTAGTGTGTCTGAACGTCAATACGAAGAAGTACTTCTGTGTTGTGATCAAATCCATCAAAGATCCGAGGCAAATTCTCTACCTTGATATCACCATTGCACAATTTATTTCACGCCAAATCTGCATGTGCCTGTCTGTCAGCTGATGTCTTTTGTACTCCATAACTTTGTGCAAATACAGAACAGTGTAGTACTTATAATATTAAAAATATGCTTAAATTTGAATGAAGTATATTTTGAACGAATGGTTAAGCGATGGTATCACCATGCCCAACTCTTAGTAGGTTTGGGATATGTCCCCCATCCTTCCAAAAGGGGCCATAGGAACATACTCCACCTGCTTGTACTATGCGGACGGATCCCATGGAGAAACCCTATTTTATTTGGAAGAGAGGTAGCAGAAGGACATCAAATACAATGTCTCATGATAATTTATACTCCCATGACCCAACATTAACTTTTTAACCACTACCGTTCAGTAGTAGGTTAGTGGAGTAACCCCCAACGGAGGCCGATGCTCGCCAGCACGCTTCCATTTTATCAAGGTTACCGTATTGGACGAAAAGAATAATCACTTACCTTCACTTTCCCCTTGAATATTTAGCAAACCCTGAGGTGCCCCGTAAAATTTAATCCTAGTGATGTTGCTGTTTGTAACCTTTGTGTAAGTATGGTGGTGGACATTTTGTTTCAGTTTTCCTTTTTCCTTGCCCTATTTTATCGTATTAAAATTAATCATCTTTGGCTCACGGAATCATTTGATTCACGTTTCAGTATAATATGATCCCACGACACTGTCGCTTTTGTGGAAGTGCTAGGTCTTCCACATATTGGCAGAACACAATCAATATTTTTATGATACGTGTCTTGCTTTTGCATATGACTTTCTCAACCTTTCATTCCATCATCACCAACTTTACTTATAGACACATAATTATTAACGTCAGTGATGAGAAATATTCTTATGATATGTGTCTTATTTTTGCCTATGACTCTCTCAACCTTTGACTTGTTCATTTCATCATTACCCACTTTACTTCTAGACACATAATAATTGACGTCAGTGATGAGCACTTCCCCCAAGTTACATAACTTTCCAGCCCCCACCCTAACCAGCAACCGGCAAGTTTGACATCTGTTATCATAAAGCAATTAGTGTCCCAAAATACGTCCATTTCATATTGGTCCGATTGCTTGATTGCAGTATATAATTATTCTGCTTTGCCAGTATTGGCAAGCACCCAAGTGCATATCCTCCTTGCAAACAGGACTGTTCTACTTCCTCCTCCTGACAGAAACATTCGTAGTTCACTGCAGAGTCCAACAAGGAAATAAGACTTCAGTTACTGTTAGGGCTAGGCTAATGTCATTTGATTTCACTTTCGGATTTGACTCAAAGGCTACGCATCGGTTGCGGTAATGCCCGCGGAAACAATAGTTGTGTATATAAAAGCGATACTAAGTTGCGTCTCTTATTTAGTTTCACAGCTTCCAGGGACCAGCTCCAGAATACTTTCTTTCCTAGGACCCGAGAAAAGAACTTGTAAGAGCTTGGTAATCAGAATTGAATTCAGACGAAGGCAGTCATGAATGTCCTATGTGACGGAGCATCGAGTAACACGGTGTTTGCGTGTCTGGCCATTTTCGTTTTTTGTACCATCGGATGCAGATATGAAGTGGCAGCTTTAGGTAAGCTAAAAAAGCACCTTTTTCCTTTGCTAAATAAGCACGTATATAAAGCTAACGTTTTTTTGTGAAAATGTACCACGGGTTTATACATAACTGAATGTTAGTAGTGCCCTTTCTAGGGTGCCTTAGCAGACTGAAGGTCAGATAAACAATATTGTCACTTTCTTAGTTCTCGCCCCTAAAGTGTCCCAGGCCCCGCCCCTGCTGGCTTGCAAGCGCTGCTGCTACGTTAAAAAGGGGTTAGGGCATTAGTAATTATAACTGTCATGTTTGTAGACCCAGCCAAGGCTAGAAAAGTGTTCATGCTAACAGATATCGATTTAAAATAAAGGTAAATGGTTTTTCGTTCTTCACTTTCAGTACCAGTCCGACTTACAGACGGTAGTGTACCAACTGAGGGAAGAGTGGAAGTTTTCTACCAAGGCCAATGGGGTAGAATATGTCATGACGGCTGGGGAATTGAGGAGGCCATGGTAGTCTGTCGCCAGCTTGGTAACTTACTTCCTGTGTTAAACTCTCACAGTCACTTCGGATACGCCTCAGTGCCGATGTTGCTTGACGATGTTGTATGCACTGGAAGTGAAACAAGTATTGATCAGTGTATGCATAGAGAATGGGGAGATGTGGCCGGCTGTGGAAGTCATAATGGCCATATTACGGCAGGTGTAAGGTGTTCTCCTTCACGTGGTGAGTTACCCATTAATCAAGAGATTATGATGAGGATTGATTACTATCAAAATCCTCGACGAAAATGTAAATTTCAACTCAAGACTGACTTGACACGCCCCCACATGATCGCAAAACGGCTCGACCAATAAAAAGAATCACTTATTCCGGCAAACAATTTGTTTTCTCTTAATGGTGCACTGCCAGAACCCTCAAATAGGAAAAATAACGTGCAATTTTTCCGTAAATACCATATGATGAATAAAGTATCTCTTCTGACATGTAATTCTTTTTTATTTCACTTTGTTTTTTTTGGGGGGGGGAGGCAATGCAAATGCCAATCGTTTTAAAACGGTACTACACGATCGGGAGTAGAATAATGGGTAAAAAACAAAATGCCAACCTCAGACCTAGATATGCCACTGCTTCCAATTATTATGGCCAGTATACATGAGGCAAATCAATATTTCGTTATTACAGAAACATGTATAAACGGCCAAATACGTCATTAGATATCTCCGCGCGGTGAGAGGAAACTCACTGTGGCAAGATTTGAAAAAAAAAATTCTTGGTCGTAGCCTTTGCCCGCTTTCGTAGGAAGCAGACAGTGTTTGACTTTGAACATTGATGCTGCTTAACGGTTGCGTTGATGTTTATGAATACTTATTGCCAGGCGTGAATCTAGACAGGGTGGGGGTTGTTGGTATGTGGCCTAATAATTGTGGAAAACAGGTAGGCTAAACTCGGGTCTCTTCTCATTGTTTGATGAGCTATGTTGGATCCATATTATTACAGAGCGCCCTCTGTTGGTGGGTGGTGACATTACTGAGGTCAACCCCCTGTTCATGGCAATTTTGGGATGGGTCCTAGGTAAGGTTCGAAGACCCTTGAAAAGCATAAGCCGTGTAGGTGTATTTATTTGTATGTCTGTTTGATAACAAAACAAGCAGATTAATAGCTTTCACCAAGGGTGAAACTTAACGTACCAATAATATTTCCCAAAACCTCCTCCGGCAAATATCCTGGATCCGCTCCCTGTTGCAGGTGCTGAGCCCCCTGTCATTACCTGCCCAAATAGTCGGACGGTCGAGACTGATCCCAACCAGAACTTTGCCACTGTCTTCCTGCCTGACGCCTCGGCATCCGATAACAATGGATGGGTCGAGATCACAATTGAAGTAGGAAGTTCTACGTATCACGTAAATGACAGAGTCACTTTAGAAACTACAAATTCTCCATATGTGCTACAGTATACAGCAAGGGATGTCATTGACAACACTGCAAGATGCAGCATGGTTATCACTGTCATTGGTAAGATACGGTGTTAAATAATTGTATTCATCCCATGTTGTGGCTCTCGTGGGACAATTTATTGGGTTCTTTAGAACATAAGACCGTAGCTCCTCTCCAATATGTATGAAACCAACCACCGTTATCCATTTATCAACGATTAAACGGGTTTTTTAATTTAACACTTTATAGGCGTGCAGAGTAACACCAGTGGTGTTAAAGTAACACCATATGGTGTGGTCATCGGATAATACCAAAAAGTGTTGATGTTAACACCACAGGTTTTGCAGTAAATGAGTTATTCTTTTTATTGAAGGTTCCTCACTTTTTAGTTCGCCATATGCACTATACGTCACTGTATGCAAACAATACTATGTCGCTAATTTGAGAGGTGGAGGATGAGGGACCACTCAGAAGTTATGATCGGATGATATCTCCACATGGCATATTGTAGTGGCCTGTGGTGAGAGATAATTAATTGCACAGCCCGAAGGTCACATTGTGCCTTGAGCGCAAAGAGCCTCAAAATCGCCTTTAAATGTATTTTATCATTTCTTCCCAGTTAAAGGCAATCAATTTTAATTTCCCTTCTTCCAGCGCATTGTGATACTCATCTAAACGTCGATGCTGAAAGAAAAGGAATTTAAAAATTTATTGGTGTCTTAGGCTTAAAAAGGGGGGTGACCTAAGTTACCCTGGGTTTCGGGCAACATGGGCCAACTTTTGTTTTTGATCTTCATCAAAATGGGGCATGAAAATCAAAGTAAAAATGGTTACCATGGTTACCACAAACAACGAAAATGCTAAATAATGAATAACTGATTTCTAAATAAAATGATATTAAATACGTCCGCATCCACTGTACGTTTGAGAGAATAACAACATTTCAAATCCTCTAGTGGCTACTAACCAAAGTTACCCCATGTCACGGTATCCATTCTTGCCTGCCCGGTAGGTTAGACAGACGGTACCAGCATGATCCAAACCAGAACTAGAAACTCTGACACAGCACTCCCACTTCCCTCCTATGCGTATGATAATTGAATTTTCCCTAGCACTTTCATTTTTAGCAGTATTATTAGTTAGTAACATTCCAACGTGAACAAAATCTTTTTGGCCCATCGATCATACTCACACAATGCAGCTTACTTTCAAGGGACGACACACTTAAAAGAGTAGCAATCCACGGTTGTGGTCAAATACGTCTGTACACTTGGACTAGGAGTGGAACAGTTAGTGGAACAGTTTTTACAGCCACAATATCCACATTATGTACATGGACCCGAATGTTATGTTTTTAAAGTACAGTGGATACTCCAGCGATCAGTCATTGAAGAGCGATGGTTGCCAGAAATACGTGGTCTTGTGACTTGTAATCAATGCTTAAAGTTCACAACTGTATTATTATAGCTTGACGTACATTGCGCGATCACGTTGTACAGGTCGGTTTAAAAAATAGTTGTTAGCAACGCAGAAAGTCCGCAAGATGTCTAGACGCAGACAGTCGAAGAAGAGACGCTGTAGGACGTCATTCCACCAAGTTATGAAACAAAATGGCGTCTGAAACTTTTTGCACTACATGCCTTTTTAGGTGTCACTCTTGCCTCTTGAAGTAAAACTGATTTTCCAGTTTGATGTCATTTTTTAATAGTGAGCTATTTTGTTTAAAAGTTTTGCTGCATATGCAATCAAAAAAGAGAAAATGGACAAACTGACTGGTACTAAGTGAGAGGAACGTCATTGTACGTCAGTCATGCCAGCGTGCATGTTCTAACCATAAAGCCCTGAAATTATATATAAATAGGAGGGTTGGACCATGTTAGCTTTAACGATGTTTCCATTGTTTCGGTCGTTGGTTTGTTCTGCCGATGAGCTTTCGTTTAAAGATGGGTGGTCTCTCAAAAACTGACTGCTTCATTTTATTATTCATAACTCGTTCGCCAGATTTATTTCTCAGGAATATCTTCAGACTCTAATCCTTTATTACCGGCGGTCAAAATCATTTGTCCACCAAAAACCACCGTCTCTATAAATCCTAACAACTTTGCCAATTTGTCTTGGAGCACGCCAGTTCTTAGCTTCAATGGCATCAATCAAAGTGTCACTGTCGTTAGTGATCGTGACCGTGGACAAGGATTCAACATTGGGACCACACTGGTTACATATGAGATTCTAGAAACGAGTTCTCGGTGTCAGTTCTCTGTAACTGTTACAGGTAAGAGTATATTGGGAGAGTGTTTTTTTTCCTTACAGGACCTTTTCTCTCGTTGACAAACGTAAAGATAGAAAATAAAACACATTTAAGTATGTACATGTTGATTGTAGGCTTACTTTGGTTAGTCAAGCGCTGGTATTTGAATTCACAAAAAAGGTTATTTACCTCATAACAGACACCAATCCGCCAAGATTCTTCCCAGATTGCCCGGGTAACATCTTTCGTCTCGTCAACATTGGCATCCAATCCGTATCTGTGTCATGGCCAGCGTTTAATGCATCAGATTCAAGCCCACCGTTGCTATGGAACTCCAGCCATCAACCTGGAGACGTGTTCCAAACTGGTGAGATAACAGTGGTAGCATACAAGGTGATGGACCAAAAAGGAAACTCAGCATACTGTAACTTCACAGTGACAGTGACAGGTATGTTTCATATGAAAATTAGCTGGAAACAAATTTGAGTACCATATATCACCCACGTTTAGTGTTCTCTCACCTAAATTTTGGCTACATTTATTGCAATATTATTGAATTCATTAACCTTATGGCAGTATTTGAGCCACCCTTCCAAAAAGCGGGAAGTCCTTTCCCTCTAATTACCTGGAAGTCATGGGATGACATAACTTTGTCTTTACCCTATTGAACGCGTATTATAATTTTCCTTTGGTTTACTGAGTACTCAAATATGCTCCTTTATGCATGTGCCAATTTTAATTGTTGGCAATGTCCACCTCTGATAATGCAGGTGTAGATTTCCAATGTCCGGCCAATATCACAGTGGCCACGGACCCTGGTATCAGCACAACATCTGTTTCATGGATGCAACCCAAGGTGACATTCAACTCAATGAATGGCCAAGCTTCAACCACAGAGAATGGGAGTGGCTTTTATGAAGATGATGAGGACTATAACTACGAGGGTGGTGATGGTAGCAGTGGCAATCGTATCAACGGAAGTGTTGTTTACCAACGAGACAATGGAGAGACAGGAGTTCGATTACAATCAGACCATCAGCCAGGAGACCTCTTCAGTATCGGAGCTACTCAGGTGATCTACCAAGTCCAAGAGACTGAGATAGAATGCCGATTCCATGTCATCGTCGGGGGTAAGAGTAACTTCATATAATTCGTTCCAGCTTAAGGCCAGGCATTAGTGCTTCTTTTTAATTAAAAAACCAAAAACTGACCGTTCCATCCTACATTCCATCCTACACATCCCATTCAACAGAAAATCCCTCCAATCATGGTTTGTCACAGTGGCTAACAATTATACTGAATGCGTGTCAACTTTCTTAGATGACGAACCTCCGAAGGTATCTGGCTGTCCAGATGACGTCATCATTCCTGTCACTTCATCCTCCCAGCTGGTGACCCACTCCTGGATTCCTCCAATCCTTACTGACAACTCCGGCCAAGATGTCAGTGTGACATTCAACTGCTTACCAACCACTTTCAGTGAATGTAACCGAGCAGGGAATGGGTCCTTTTCTGTAGGAGATACAACGGTGAGATACACCGCCAGGGATATGTCTGGGAACAGGAATGTTTGCGCGTTTAATGTTACAGTTACAGGTTTGTGTTTGTTTTATCTGTGCTTCTTTATTTTAGTCTTCAGTAGAAATTTTCTTTATGAAGAACAAGGATAGAAGTGGAAGACCTGTGTGACGGACAGGTGTTGATAGTTCGGTCTTCGGTCAATCAACGTTCGTTTTTCCCCAGAGGTGAATCTTGTCTGCCCTGCGAATATCACCGCATTTGCAAGTCCCGGTTCAACAACAACCAGTATAAGCTGGTCAGAACCGGTTGTGAGTGGATGGAAGGGAGAAACCAACTTCACCTCAAACTACAGCCCTGGGATGACGTTACCGATAGGAACCTACCGTGTCAGCTATCAGCAGTGGTTTGCAGCATATGACTTGCTCCTAGAGTGTTCATTCTTTGTGGGTGTAGAAGGTAAGACATATATGCAAGTTTTAAAAAATCCTTTGCATCCTTCAACTGGTTTGATCCCCTTTGTTTATTTGCTTGGTTCTTTATTTGGTTGCCGGAGGATAACAATGGAAATAAATTACTAAATGCTTTCATATGTTTCGACGGTTGTAGGTCAGTGTCCAGCCAGTATCACCAGCGACAGATTACGATGGCCGGTGGCAGTAGCCGGATCAGTGGCTAAGTCTGTGAAGCGATGCGCACTGAAGACGGCAAACGGTTAGACTGAAATCCGTCATTTTGTAGTTACCTTTCCATGGTAAAGTACTTCTTGTTCAATTACATCTTGGTACTTTGTCTCTAGACCGTTGCCTTTACTCCGTCCATCCCCTTGTTTTTCTTTTTAACTGTGGTGTTTTGACAAATCTATACATGAATGTGTGAAACTGGACTTTCGGGTAGGAGGACTTTGGAACAATTTTAATTAAAGTGTTCGGATCCACTCTTCCTTTCAATCTTGTCACCATGCACCAGTTCGCATAGACTCCGTAGACACTTTCAAAATGATGATTACAAGCACATCTCTTTTTTTTTGAAATTTTATTTGTACAATTAATTTGACAAATGTCAATCAATCAGTTTTAGGCATTCATTCATTTTAGGCCAATGTTGACTTTATCTATATTTCTCCCGTAAAGCTGGTCAGCCTGTCGCTTTGAGGAACTGTTCGAAGGAAGAAGCTCCTTTGTTCTTTCGATGGGAGGAGCACGCAAATCGCAGCTGTGGTGAAGTGAAGACAGAGGTCTCTCTTGAAAACGTTATTGAGGTAATTCTTTTCTGTAGATTTCTGAATTTCATCCCAGACGCAACAAATTTCACCTTATCATTTATAGAGTTCTTTTTTTTATAAACTTGATAACCTTGAAGTTCGATGCCGCTATAATAGTGTCTTTATGACAGGTGGAGGTTAGCAAGGGTAATGCAGTTGAAGTAGCTGGGTTTCTGGCCAGTCAGACGTCAAAGTCATCTGAGGATGCACAAGATATTGAGGCGGTCTCCAGCATTTTGGAGAATATTGCCAAGGCGGGATCGGGAGATACAGAGGTACATGAAATCTATTCCGTAGAGAGGACTTTACCCATTCCAGTTGATAGGATGATGTAAACTGTGACTTATTTCGTGATTTCTTTGAAGGTGACTGAGCTCGTGCTCGAAACTGTCAGCAATGTCATCCTTACTGTTGGGACAACTATCGATAGCGAGTCTCAACCTGCCGAAATTGATGCCGAAAGTTCCTCGGCCATCGTCCAGTCCGTAGAGGCCCAAATCTCTTTAACTCTTCAGCAGGAGGGGCATGTCAGTATACGACAGGACTCCATCCACGTCGAGGCAGTCAGTATGGATCCCACGCTGGCAACGGAAGGACTTAGTTTCGCTTCCGTGAAACAGTCCACCACACCTGAGCCTGGACAGGGGCTACTTGCTGGTACTGAGGTCAAGACTTTAAATTCTACCGTGATACCCAAGGATCTCGATGTCTTAGCTTCAGCTCAATTACCTAGCAACATTATTGGCTTGTTACAATCGCATAACGGTAAAGTATATAGTAAACATCCAGAATTATTTATGGTGATATGGCGACAGGTGCAGTTTAAATGCAACTAGCACTGTATACACTGTAGTTATTCTGCGAGACCTTCTGGCTTGTTCTTTCCATCCGGTAAAAACATACAAGAGAAATAGAACTGTAAATGTTGGGTTTATGGTCATTGTTAGTGTCTTTAAAGGCTGCAAGAGTTCCACTCTATGACTGTTTATAATAAAATTCTCTATAATTGTTTGATCTAAATGTTCAGGACTGGCTTGAGTCTTCTTTAGCTAGAGTATTGATTAGAGTTAATTGCCTTACGTTGCATTTTAGGTTATGTGAAGAAAGACTCGTTGATTTTCTGGAGTCAATTCCTTCAAATGCAGACAACACTTCTGCCGAGCTCCAAGCAAGTTTCCTGATTTACGCGGATGACAGCTTGTTCCAGTCTGCTTCAATCAGAAAGTACCGAGGAGAGAATAACTGGACTCGTAAGGTTGCTGGAGCCGTTGTCTCACTGACTGTTGAAAATGTTGAACTTGTCAACCTTACTGAACCACTTGTCGTTGAATTCAAGGTGATCAATGAAATAACTTTATTTACTTTGAAATAAATAAATAGCGATAATTAAAATTATCTTTTTTACCGACAACTTTATTTAACACCCCAAAAAGGCAATCCAATTCCCTCCCGTCTTCGCATCAGAGATTTCCATAATTCAGTGGAGATCAATCGCACACTGCTCGTATGTTATTAAAAATTGGGGTTAAAAGTGAACTTCATTCCAGTGTTGTCAGTTTGTAAGTCTTTTGGTGTCCCAATCAGGAGGAATCAAGCGACGTCCATTGCGTGTCGTGGAATTTTGAGCTTGAAGACGGCGTTGGTGACTGGACTACGGCTGGATGCGAGCTTGTTGAAGAGACCTATGACAGAGTAAAGTGTAACTGCACCCATGCCACCAACTTTGCCATCCTTGTGGTAGGCGCTTAAAATAATGTAAAGAAAATAATTAAACATACAACATCATTATTTGATTTCAGCGTTGAAATACATTTGCACAGTTTAATATTTTGTTTTGCAAAGGATGTGAAGGGCCAAGTTCCCGATGATGAAGATCACGCTCCTTCTAAGAAGGCTCTCGATATCATCAGTCAGGTCGGCTGTGTTTTGTCCATCATAGCTCTGACTATTACGGTGGTCATTTACCTGACTATCAGGTGAGAGAAGCAAATGAAATCTTGTTGAAATGTCTGTTTAATACAGGGTGTCCCAGAAAGAAACCAAACCCTGAGGAAAGGGGTTAATATGTCCAAACCATGAGATATGATTATAATGTACAAGGATCTCAGAAAAATTGTCTTGTAAATGGGGCATCCGAACTCAGTTATAACACTTTGGATAAACCAGTGAATGAGGTTGTCCTCTGTCATGCTGGATATGATAACAGGGGCACACCGATTATTTACACATTATGTAATACAAAATTAATAATTATGCACCGACACCTTCCGCGTGTCCGCGTTCCCTTTCAATACAGAGATTACAGCGGTGGCGCATGTCAGCCACAGCTCGTCTCACCAATGCAGGGTCATGTCATAAGATGTTGACCTCCTGTTGAATGCGACCTCGTAAGTCTTGGATGTTAGTAGATTGGTGAAAACTTTGTCCTTCAGATACCCCATAAAAATAATCACACAGGGTGAGATCTGGAGAACGGGGTGGCCTTTCAGTTTGGAATGTTCAGAGCAATTACTCGATCTGGGAACAGTTCCCGCAGGAGATTCCCCACAGGATGTCCCTTCTTTGGCCCACCACAGATGTCAGAAAACACCATTTTCATGCCGTTGAAAATGAAGTTGGAGTACCACGTCTTCGTTGATCATGTGCAAGTACCGTTCACCATTCATATTCCGTTCGAAAATGAATGGTCCATTAAAGATACCATTCCCACACAGTCCTACCCAAACGGTGACCTTCTCACGACTCATGTTGGTTTCAAAGTTAAAATTTGGCGGGTGCCCCTTCAGTGCCTATTCGACGTTGTTGTGGGTGTTAACTTCTCTGTTCATCCCAAATGCTGCCTCATCACCAATTGTCAACCATTCAAGAAACTTTTCATTGGCTTGAAAGCGGTCCAGGAGCCACTGAGCAAACTCCTGTCTCCTCCTGAGGTCTCCACGCAAAAGTTGGTGACGGATGTGCATTTGGTATAGATGGAACTGAAGGTTGAACTGCATTATGCGGCTAAACGAAGAATGGGACTGTCCAAGTCCCAAGCATGACAGAGGACAACCTCATTCACTGGTTTATCCAAAGTGTTACAACTGAGTTCGGATGCCCCATTTTCAAGACAATGATGTTGAGTCATTTATGACAGGAGGGATACCATCAAGGTATCATTAGAAAGAATACTGCTTCTACTTTTCGGAGATCCTTATACATTATAATCATATCTCATGGTTTGGGCATATTAACCCCTTTTCTCAGGGTTTTTTTTTGGGGGGGACACCCTGTATAATGTTGTCCACTACTGGTTGACCGACGCTGGAGCTATTACTTGAAGTTGATTTTAGCTATAAAAATTGAAATTGTTAATCTTGTGTTTAGGAAACTGCGAAGCGGCAAATCTCGACAGATTTTCATCCACTTTTGCTTTTCTTTGCTGATGTTGTACATCATTTTCTTGGCTGGCGTTGATAATGCTAAGGTGAGTAATTACCAGGGTGTCCTTTGCTGCAAGGTAGATGTTCGTTGTCACTTATGAATGTAGTCTAAAAGGAAAAAAAATCATCTTCAAGTTCAAAACAAAAAGTTGTTTTATCGCTGTTAACTTTCTATTGAATCCATAACATTGCATTTTAAATTGGAGCACTGTAGTGTGTGAAATATGCTTTTTGTTTTCAGGGATCTGGAGGTGGTTGTGTGTTTGTTGCTGCTTTACTCCACTACTTGACTCTGACCACTATGATGTGGATGGCTGTTGAAGCCAGGAACATGTACGTCAGCACAGTGAAAGTTTTCCCAGAAGACACTCCTCGATACATGCTAAAGGCGAGCCTCATTGCTTGGGGTGAGTTTTTGTCTCAATGCCACAAATTTTCTGGTCCAATCCTGAGATTTGTTTATTAACCACACCTAACAACATAAAAATGCCACTTAAAGAATGGTATAATATCAAATAAATAGAATTGATATATAAATATATGTACAGAACATCAAATTTAAAAAAAGACAAAATAAAACACTAACCTAAAAATATGTAGCTAGATAGTTTAAACAGCAGAAGGTACTGGCCAAATAACATGGAATGTTGTTGGAAAGGGCTGTCACCTGTAAAGAGATGACGAAACCACTCTCCCTCACAGAGTAAATGACAGAAATCTAGATGAAATTGTGATGTCTGTAAAAGAGAACTGCTAAAAAAGATAAACAGTGAGACTTGTACGGATTTGTTAGAAAACAGTGTTAGCAAAAATAATCTTCACTCTGCCGCGGCTTTTATTCCAATTTCAGGAACACCGTTGATAGTACTGACAATCACCTTGGCAGCAGCGACACATCACTACATCAACGACCATTAGTAAGTTGATCCTTTGATGTACAATAACATAGATGTGTTACAGTGTCCTCTTTCTTGTTGTTTTATTTCGATTTACATAAATTACTAGGACACATCGAAATAAGATAGGCCTACATCCATTTACATAGTTTGAAATCATATCGAATGCCCTGTCTTTTGTTTATCATAGCTGTTTCCTGCGACCTGGTCTTGTGCTGTACATTGGTCTCCTTACTCCCATCGGTCTCATCCTCATCCATAGCATCGTCACCTTTGTCCTTGTCATGCGCAGTCTCCTGAAGGTCAAAGAGGTATCACGCTCCCAGCAGATCTCCAAACGCCTCCACAATGCTGTGGGTATCTCTGTCCTCATGGGACTGACCTGGTGTTTTGGGTTCCTGGCCATCAACGAGGCGGCATTCGCCTTTCAACTAATCTTCTGTCTGGCCAACTCCTTCCAGGTAGGTGACAAATATTCAGAACTATTACATCTGATCTTTTTAGGAGTTGGAACTGCTGTGCCTTCTCCTCAAAAGCAACCTTGCGGTATACTTTATAGTCACTCAGTCCATTTTGTTAACATGATGTCAGTGTGGGCACCGGGACGGACTCTGTGTTAAGTGGCCCCATGTGTTTATACAAGGCATTATTTACGAAGACGGTGCCAGGACCAGGCAGTGGAATGTTGTTTTTTGTTAATCACTGACAGCCTTTGGGACCTTTTCAGAGGCCTGTTTCGGCTGTCTCTGAGGTGTTATTTTGGTGGAGGGAGGTGTTGTGGCTTGGCCGACACATGGCAAGACACCCCCCCCAAAATCGGGATAGTCTGGAAAACAAGGTCCCTGACTATTGACTATGGAGGACGAAAAGTGGCCATCTGCTTTTCTGCTGTCAGAACGGTAGAAAAGCAGATTTTAAGTTATGGTAACTTGCAATTTCAACTTTCCTAATTTTCTGCCTCCTCAAAAAGTAGAACAAACATTGTTTGGTTATGCATCCTTCTATTTTTCTACTTCAAGAAAAGCAGATTTTTTTTCTTCTCTGCTCGCGGCCGAAAAGCAGCCATCTGCTTTCCTCCTTTTGAGCAGGCAGAAATTAGAATCAAATGTTTCGACAACAACTGTGAATTCTACTTTTTTGCTTTTTTCATACCGGAGGAGCAATTTTACATAGACGGCCGAAAAGTGGCCATCTGCGTTTTGGCTTTTCAAGGGCCATGAATGGGGTCGTGAACCTCAGGTTAAGACTATTTCCTTTTGGGGGGATTGAAGACGTATAAATCAATATTAACAGTCCTTGGCCCAATCAAGCTGGATGAAAGTTGTAAAACTGTGCTTCCTTTGAGATGCTGTTTTCTCTGCCTCACAGGGAAACTGATACTGCGGTATAGGATTGGTCGGCATAAAGCTTTGCTGAGTATTGCTTTCTATACGTCTTCACTCCCCCCGAACGGAAATGGTCGTAACCTACAGGTTCGTGACCTCATTCACTGCCCGTTGAGGACAGAAAGCAGATGGCCACTTTCCGGCTACCTATGTAAAATCTGCTTTTCCGGTATCACAAAAGCAGAACAGATGAATTCACAAGTGTCGTCAAAACGTTCAATCCACTTTCCTGCTTGTTTGACAGGTAAAAAGCAGATGGTCACTTTTCGGCCGCCATCAAAAAGAGGAAAAGTAAAACTACTATAGTAGTAGCAGAAAAGCAGAAAGTGGAAAAATGCATTGTACAGTAAAATGTCATTCTGCTTTTGAGGTAGTAGAAAAGTAGAAACGTCAAAAATTGCATGTTACAAATACGTAAAATCTGCCTTTCTACTTTTCTGAAAGCAGAAAAGCTTATGGCCTCTTTTTGTCCTCCGTACCCTGACGGTACTTCGATGTACTTTTTGCGGGTTTTACGAGCTGTATAGGCTAGAGGACAACCACTGAAATATTTTCATATAAAATGAAAATGCGTCGCAGGGATTTATTTATTAAATTAAGGATGTAGCCAACTCCATCACTAAGCCCATCACAAGTCATCCTGTGTTCAGCAACGTGGAATTGTGCGTGCTCGTTGTGCAGTTTGAAGTGTGACTTGTGATGGACTCAGCAATGCTTTGTGGTAGCTTGCTACAGCATGGCCACTTTTTAATAGTTGCAATCGTTTGCTTCCGTTGCAGGGTGTTTTTGTGTTCATCCTGTTTTGTGTTCGTCGTGAAGAAGTTCGCACGGCCCTGGCTCCGTACATGAGACGTATCTGCTGTGGCAGGGAATGCCATCTGCCCATGATGCACCCTGACAAGTCAACAGATGCTGAAATGGTTTCTACTGCAGCGCATACACAGCAGTCATCCGGGCCAAGTGCCAATTTGGATATGTCCATTACAACACCACAGTGAAAACCGTGCATTGAGCTACTGCAGGCAAGATGTCGCGATTCACAATCGGGGTCCTGTATTATGCATACATTTAACATGCTGTAACCTGTTTCAAATCGTTCTAAAGATTCTCGTCATCCTCTTGCAGTTTGATCTCTGAGTTGTTTGTAGTTAGTTTTTTCCAGAAATGGGGAGAGAAACAAACCCGCGTGCACGTTTTAAGATGTGTATTGAGATATTCTGTGATTGAATAAAGCTTTTACACTGTTTGTTAGACTGGAAAGTTCCTGAGTATATATTAATAAAATATAATATGCTGCATAAATAGTTACGAGACAACCCAGTGTTCATGTTAAATCTGCTCGTATTTATTACAATACGAATATGTAAAATCTAGAAACGACACTGTGTTTCATAGCTATATATAGCCTATGGAAAAAAGAAAACAAAAAAATTGTACCAAAGTATCAATTTTAGACAATAAATATGGATAATTGCTTATCTTAACGAGATGCAAGCAAGTAGATGTATTTAAATTTCGTGGACACCATGAATCATCCCCTGAAAACAGAGCATACTGGTCAGAGTGTCGTGATTTGTCACTTCATTCTCAGGATACAGACAGCTGAAAATGTTACATATTTCTACAAATATTGATATGATTTTGAATTCATTACGTACCACTTGTTCGTTTTGTGCCATTTATGCGGCTTGGCTGATATAAAAACTGCTACTTATTCTAGGTTCCTGACGTCGGAAAGTACAAAGAGATTAATTTGTTGAAGGAAATAATTATTTGAAGTTTACGAACGAGTGCCTCTTTTTTCGTGGCTTCTTAGAAGGCCACGCAAGCACTGCATAACGCATAAGTTGGACTACATTCAAATTCATCAGAACATTTAATAGAACTTGGTCATTAGTTTCAAATTATCCGTTTTTGAATGTTAGGCCTACTTATAACATTTCAGTGGGGATAGGTTTTGCAATTGAATAAGGCTCCACATTATACAGTTTGATTTCCAGTTGTACTATTCGGTAGTCATGTTAGAAGCCGCCAATGTTGGTCAAGAATAATCAGAATATTTATAGACGCCAGATAGTTTAACTGGGACCAGTAGGTGAATACTTGAATGTACAGTGGTATGAAATATTACTCTGTTGATCTGTAATCAGAAGTTTTTTCTCCTAATTTCCTTTAATCCACACTATGACATACGGCATTAGAGGAGACGGTTTCATC